GTTATTTGCTCGCAGGTGATCGGACAGTAACGGAGCTCGGAAGAAAGGAGTACGGGCTTGCCGGAATATTTGCTCCCCGTACACTATTCATACTTTGTTTCATGGTTAATAACTCAGGTTTGAACTAAGTTGAGGTATCTCTATGAAACCTTCAAAAGGGTTAGTGTTGCATGATTTTTAAACTTTGAGTACAATATTACTAGCCCTCTATGAAATCAAAATAAATGTTTATTTAATTAATTTAGGATTTTCATGTCAAACATTAAAAAATATATTTTATGGCATATTAGAAGACTATTAGTATAAACAACATACAATCACACTTACTTAGAAAATGTGATTAAAAAAAAGAAGATATAATCACACCTATTTAAAAAAATGAGATTAAAATAAATATTATGACACTCACTCAAATTAAGTGTGATTAAAATATCATTCTAATTTTTTTTATCCGCTACTACAAAAATAGATATAGATCACACTTTTTTTGTGTGATGTATGTTATTTAATCATACCTTTTAAGTTTTATTAAAGTGTGATATTTCGGGGTGTGATTAATAACGTTTACATCACATCTTTTAAGTATGATTAATAATATTTAGAACCCAATTTTATGTGTGTTTAATAACATTTAGATCACATCTTTTAAGTGTGATTAATTACTAACAAAACTTGTGATCATAAACATTTAGATCACAGATTTTAAGTGTGATTAATATCTAATAAAACCTGTGATTAATAATGATTTGAAGAATAATCAATATTATTTTAGTACGCGCATTTGAAGAAAGCAATACACATTATATACTATATTTTGAATCACAACCATATATTGAATGGAATAACGTTATATATTTCTTGAATGAAAGTTAAATATGTTTAAAAGTAGATAGAAATGAATTACATAAAAGTTTTAAACTGTGTTTACATATATTAAAAAATGAAAAAGCTTGAAAAACTAAATTTTTGAATTCTTTGACCATATTTTGCTTTCTCCAAGAAATTTCTGACCTGAAAATTATAAAAACAAATTAATTCAGAAATGGCTAGAAGCATATGAACAAACTTACTATTTTTGTAGAGATTGTTATTGTCTTACAAAAGACAAAGTCCGATGGATCACACCCCTTCGAATGTCTTAACATTAAATACCTCTAGCATGACTTGAAGCATATAAAAACAAAATGTCACTTTACCTACAGAAATTGCAACTTCAACAGAATTTTACTATAACCAACAACTTAGTTATAGTAAAATTTGTACTTAATTATTTAAGAAAATAATTTACAAACAGGGAACACCTCACACTTTTCTTCAAAGAGTTCCACTACCTAGTCACACACAAAAAAATAAAAAATAAAAAATACTGTGTCCAAGAATGAGCCTACACTGTGTAAAATTAATGACATATATTTGATTAGTTCATTGTATTATGTTTATTTGTTTTTAGTGTCTAAAAATGGTGTTTATTAAATTCACAATTTTAACATGAGTTCAACAGGACTTTGTGCAGCTTTTAACTGATTTTCAAGAAATTTCTTTTTAAGTAAAGGACTAAACATAAAAATAAAAAGTGGTCCTTTTCCCATGAGCGAACTGCAGGTTCGAATCATGTCCTGCCTAATCACAAAATAAGATTAATATTCTTGTGATGCATAAATCTTAAAAAAATATAGGAAATGATTTGAGGCAAGATAATGATTTCATTATTCAGTAATTCAAAGATGTGTAATTGGCACATTAAACCAAGTAGGTGGTTCTCACATTGACAAAATTTGGTTAAGCATGGGCTCTGTGCAGTTTTTAAGGCAAGCAGGCCTCTATCATCGTGACCAACAGGTATAACTGAAGAAAAGCCCATCTCCACACAAAAAGAAAGAAGCAGTTCCACCTAGAAACACCAACTACCAACTTATCAAAAATAAAATTAAGTTGCTAAAAACGAAAACATTATAAGAGAAATGCACATAGGCAGATATGCCAGGAAGAAACCAAAGTGGGTTCCCATATGATGCGCATGACCCTTATTCCTAAGATCCTTTTCGAATTCAGTTACGATCCAAGTTGAATATACAAGTTTATTCAGAAACTTACAGATATATCTATCATTCACTTCCCTATTCCTCTACACCTATGAATCTATGATACTTAAATGAGCACGAAACACCAAAATCAAGATTCAAAATAATAATAATAAATATATAAATAAATAAAATAACGACACAAAACTTAACAAACACAGTCCTAAATGAGCACAAAGTACCAAAATGTAGACCCAAAATATAAGAAAAACATATGTAACTATTATTTAGAAAGATTTCACCTTTTAAAAGGAAAATGCTTCCTTAACTGGGAATCATATTCCTTTCCACCAACTAACTCCTACCACACCAAAAGCTATAAAAAAAATTAAAAAAAAGGAAAGAAAAAAAAGATAAAGAAAACTATGACAACACAAAGCTTAACTAATACATAGTTCTAAGATAGAAGAAGCCACAATTTCATAGATACAACAAATCTGGTTCCAAGAATTTGCCAAAGAAAAACCTGAAAATCACTTAAAACAAAGGCTTCATGTAATTACGTTTATGTCAGCCCAAAACAAGATATCAACAACTTGTGATCCTCTGCCAAGAACTAATAAATATTATAGCTCTCCAACTTCTCATTTAACAGAAATGTTTACTAGACCTCTTCATAAATTAGAATTACTTCTTGGCAAATAATCTCTCTCTCACACACATAACTCATAAGTATGTCCTCTAGATAAAGAGATTGGTTGGAGAGAGAGAATGGAAACCTTAAAATTAGGAGCATTTCTTCTTATATCGATCACATTGCTTGTGATATATTTCTTCTTCAACTTTTTGATCTTGCTTCCGTGTTCTCAACTCAGTTTTGCGGCTGAAGGTGGGCTGAAGACCAACATGGATCCAATTTGCTTGTGTCTAAGCTATTATGGTTTAATGTTGCCCCACCCAAAACCCAATTTTTTGGCTGGTTCACTTGGTAATGGAGGGTGAAAACAGCTGACTATTTTCGCTTAGTAATGGAGGGTGAAAATAGCTGACTATTTGTAAAAAAAAAAATGGTGCTTAGTAATGTCTGCCCCTTTTTTGTAAAAGTGAAGCTGAATCTAGCAACCATGTTCTGTTATAGTGCTCTAAAGTGTGGAAGATATGGTCTAAGCTACTAAATTGGTGGGGTTTTCAGTGGGCAACTTGCAGCAGCTGCAAAAACAACTCTACAGTAACAGCAACTAAGTGCAGCAGTAGCAAAAGCACTAAATTGGTGGGGTTTTCAATGGGCAACTGCAGATTACACAACATATATGTGTCTCAATCACACCACTATAGCGGCCATAACGGATGGTGGTAACCACTCATACAGTTACGTAACAGTTACATTGTGGCCCATTTTAAAAAACCATGGTTTAGACGTACGGTATAACATGTAGGGTAGTATGGGATCTGAGGAGCTCAAACCTTAGTGAGAACCACAGAGAGAGAGAGAGATTAGGAGCACCAAAATAAGGAGTCACTTTTCCATAAGGACAATAGGTTTACTATGCTCGATAGCATGAAGTATAAAAGCAGAGAGTGCAAGACAGATTTGTGTTAAAAGTTGTCTCAAAGATAATCCAACTTTCGATCAAACACTTCTTTAAATAACCCAAAACAAATACATAAATAGACACTTAATTCAAATGATAAATACAACACCAAAATAAAACAAAACAAAAAAATAAAAATAAAAACAAGATGCATCAGCAAAATCTAACATTCAATCGAGCTTTTTGATAGAATATCCCAAAAATTGCATCTGTTTTAAGCATTAGAGCACCCACAGATCTAATCAGGATAAAGAAGAGAAAGCACCTGTAAGGGACCTGAACTAAATCTTTTAGCAGCCACAAGAAGAGCATTTAGCAGTGCATCTTTAGCTCTCAACTACAAATAATATCCTTCATTTTGGATCTGTAAAATGGTAAAAAAAAATTGGAAATTTATTAATGTACACCTAAATAAACACGTGTTTACATCTGTCTACAACAGGATGTTAAATGGGGCAAGATGAACTATTTGGTCATAGCATAAAATAATAATTCTAAATACTTTGTCATGTGTGTGCCCAGGCACATCCAAAAAGAGAAACAGTATGAAAGCTTGTCAACAACTTTTGTATTAATTCTATAGACTATTTTGAATGAAGGGTGTTGAATTCATCAGCTAAAATTTTGAACTTCTTTCATGTAAGTATAAAGAAATACCTGTGTTTCTCTTTATGAAAGTTCTAGGGACTACTCCACTGAGCCACCTACCAAGCATCACTAGTATAACTCAAGATCTTTTGAGCTAAGTCTTGATTTTAGCAGATCAATAAGCCTTTAACAAACAAAATTTGCACTAGTTGGTAGCTTCGTGCAAATGAGTATTTCTAAAATATTCATTATAAGATAGACAACCAAAAGTTTAGTTCAATTTGGTTCAGTTCAAATTAAATAATTATTATTATTATTATTTTTTAGGTCATACTCAAAATTGATGACCAACCTTGGTTCAATTCTGGGTCTGTCAACAAACTCTTCATTAGGCACCCCTCGCACTCAAAAATATAAAATAAAAATAATAGCCCCAAGGTTTTTCGCTAATAGTAAGAATCCTAAAGGCACCATCGAACATCTCCAACAAGAAATGTACCACCAAAAGCTCATTTTCTACAATCACATGTGGATATCAACCCCCATGCTTCTCTGGCCTTGGCTTGATATAGCTTCCTTCTTCCACAGACAAAATCCACTGCCTTTCATTTTTTGGTGGAGACTGAAGCATATCTATCTCAACTAATAACCTTGAGAAACAACCCTACATAACATTTCTTGATCTTCCACTAAGATTCAGTCTTTAACATAAAGTTAAATAAATAAATAAAAATAAAATACAATTTTCTTAGGAAAAAGAGAATGAAAAAAAAAAAAGCAAAAGAAGCACCAAGCATCCTCCCAGAAAATGAGAAGAGAACAACAGATGAGAGCAGATGAGAGATATACCTGGATGTCGGAGGGAGAACCAGTGGGAAGTCGCCGCCGTCACTGCTACAGACAGATTGTGAGGGTAACGTGAGGTGAGAGCAAGAGCGAGAGAGAGAGAGAGAGAGAGAGAGAGAGAGAGTGAGTGTGTGTGTGTGTGTGTCTTCGTATTCTGAGGCATAACGTGGAAATTCCGTCATTTTCTCAATAACCAACTAGAACCCAACTCAGACTACTTGAGGTTAACCTAAAGGTTTAGTAACTGTAATATTACAAAAAAAAAAAAAAATTGAAATTTATCGGCAAACTATGAAATTTTCAAAAGGAAAAGATAAGGCAATTCATTATCTGCTGTTAAATTTTTTTCAATAACCTTGCATTTTCTCACTAACCAAACAGAACCACCTCAAACAAGTATTCAAAAGAGCAAATCGACAGAGACAAAATAATTTCCCCAAATTCATCAAAAACTAGCAAAAACACAAAGGTCTTAAACAAAACCCTAACCATTAAACCAAAACGCTAATCGAAAACAAAACAGATAAACCTAACCAAATCAAAACATAGATCCAAATCGAACAAAGAACGAGTTTGCCATTGACATAGGAACTGAAGCTTTGTGAATATGAAGAATTACAATTAGTGAAGAACAAATCAAGAGTTAGGGTTTGATGATGATTATACAATAAAGAGTTTGAAACAGAGAGAGAGAGAGAGAGAGAGAGAGAGAGAGAGAGAGAGAGAGAGAGAGAGACTTACTTCAGTAGCTAGGTATTCAAGTACAACGGCTATGAAAACCAGACCTCTAGTTCCTACACAATGAGCATAGCGACCATTCTTCAAGTACCAGCCAATCCTCTCGACCGGGAACAGAAGGCAATGAGAAGAGACCTGTGTGCTTGTGAAATTCAATCTTGTTGGGAATGGAAAGAGTCGTCCTCTGAATTTCAATCTTATTACCTGGATTTTTTCATTATGGGTCTAGTGAAGGAAGACCTTAATTGTTTGTTGAATTGAAGGATTTTCTCACTATTATTACTCTTTTGGTTTCCTTTGGTTGGATCTGTGTGGGTGGTCCTAACAGGTCATGTTGAAACTTGGAAGTATAAAGATATAGGGAATGTAATCTTGAACCAGGCTGCAATCTGCGCCAGTTCAATGAATGGAGTGTGCTTGACAGTTGTCTTTTTTATTTTGATGGTGTTACACATTTGGATAGGAAGTATGGAGCTGAATTCCAACTGGTTTTATGCTCATATTCTAAGGTTTCTATCTATTCCCTTACGGGTTGTGCTTTGGGTCTTATTTTATTTTCTTAAGCTTTTGGTTTATGTATCTTGGTGTATGTGGCTGCTATGGAAAAACATAACATTGATTGGCTTCTTTTGTGTGTGCTTCTGAACTAGGTTATGGAGGCAGCTAGTATGCTAGTTTTTGCTTACAGATTGTTGCTAATAGATTTGCTACAGTATGGCACCAGTATGCTAACAGATTTGTGGCTGCTTTGATAGGCTTGTTTTGGTTGTGCTAGCTAGTTATATATTAGCAGATATGTTTTAGTTGGTAAATTTTGTATAGCTTTGTTAGGGCCTAGGGTATTCCCCTTGTATTCTTGTAAGTTTTCTTGTTTTATTTTATGACTTATTCACCCAAAAAAAGTCATCTGTCATTCGTGGATAGAACAGAGGCGTGAATTTGAGAATTGTATATTTTATATAAAAATCAAATTGGAATATTTTATATAATTACACTTATTTAAAAAGTGTGATTAGAAAGTAATAATTTATATATAATCACACTTTAATTAGAAGGTGTGATTAAAAAATATATAAATAATCACATTTTAATTAGAATGTGTGATTAAAAAATTATATATATATAATCACACTTAATTAAAAAGTGTGATTAAATAGTAGTAGTGTATATATAATCACACTTTAATTAGAATGTGTGATTAAAAATATATATAATCACACTTAATTGAAAAGTAACATAAAAGATAAATATTATCACTCTCAATCAAATAAAGTGTGATTAAAATATCAATCTAATTTTTTTTATCACACTTTCAATAAAAGTGAGATATATATATTTTTTTTTTGGTCAAAGTGTGATCTTTAACTATTTTTATAGTAGTGATCACGCTTTCAATAAAAATGAGATAGTTTCATTTGTCAAAGTGTAATATTTAACTATTTTTGCTGTAGTGAATCAAAATATGCCCTCCTATAGTTTTGGAAAAATACTCTCACAACTATCATTGTACATTGCTACCGTTCGGCGAATCCAAAACTATTTATTGCTTAGGAAAAACTAATATCAATGCTATGTGAATATATAGTATATTGCATAATGAATAATAGAGAAAGATAATACATACGATAACTGTAAGAGGTATAAATGTTCATAAAATATTAAAAAAAGTTATAAGATATGAAATTTGATGTGTCAAAATTTTCAAACATGAAAACTAATTGGGATGCAAAAATATCCAGAAAACTTATTGAATTACAAGTATAGAAAAATAAATTTACTATTTAATTTCCCAAAATTATATTCGACAGAAAAAATGAAGATGATCTTATCTTCTACAATGGGTTGTCAAATGACTAACACCATCGTTATTCTTTATCTTTTGCAACCATTTCTACTACATTAGTGATCAATTTATTTTATTTTATTTTGTTTTTTTAATTCAAGACATGTAACTTCCAAAGATGTGGAGTTATTTAGGTATTATTTGACAAAAGAGCATGCAATAACTAAATTGGAGTAATAAGTCCTCAATAGGAAATATTTATCTTTATACACTTCTCAATATATCAATTATATCCCTCTTCTTAATGTCACATTCCTCTCTTTACATCCATAGTTATCTCCTTCTCTTCTCCATTCATTTTTGTAAAACAAGTACAACGCAGCGGGTAAAAATTTCAAATCATACTTTAGGTGATAAAACCTAAAGCAAAGAATCTTATAAGTAAATCACGTGCTTAAAAAAATGCGAACAACGAACTCCCAGCAGTGGAGTGATACCACAATATGAGTATCACCCACACAAGTCACAGTGCACAAGGCTGGATCATTATTTTTTAATAGGAGAGAGTCAGTATGGGAAAAATCATTCGTTATTCAATCCATCCCATATCTCATAAAACATATCAGATATATAGGCTGAGTATATTATCTATCCATATCAGTTAATATAATAGATATAGATATCAAGAGTGGGTTATCGAAATAGGTTTTTGTAGGGGCTGAATAATGGGGGTCGTAAATAGGCCTAGTATATGAACTTGGGGAACTAGAATGTATGTATAGTATTCGGCTTCATCTCACATCCAAATCCTACCCTATTGTCAAATAGCCGAATAGGTCAAGGGCCGAGTAAGAAGCAATTTGCTACAAAGGAAGCCGAATGACGAATAGAAAGTGGACCTAATCCCGAGGTCCAAGAGAGAGGATATAAATAGAAGAATATCAGCCAGTAAGAGGGATGTGAGAACTATTGTGCTTAAGTTAGAATTCAAGTAATCTTGAGTGTAGAAACTAACTTGCCCGTCGGAGTGCTAATTCTGGCACCCCCGATCGGAGTATTTATTCCTTTTCAGGTGACTAGCAAAGGATCACGAGCGCCCCCCATGATCAAAAAAGTATTCTCAAAACCACTTCTCTACAGTTTTGAATTCAAATTCAAACTTACATGGATAAGATTCAAAATGGTCACGGGTTATGCCACATGGGCGCCCAATTTCTAACAATTTTCTTTTTCATTCCACCATCTCCGGCCGCCATTGCAGCCATCTCTGACCATTGCCACCTAACTTTTCCCCACCAACAACCCCTCTTCCACAATGGCTACCCTCACCAACAAATTATGTTCCCTAACTACAACTCACACCGGCCACTCCCTCTTTACTGCTTCACCTCTATCTAGTCCCCACTTTCTACTTGCAAATCCCTTCCCAGCTTTCTTGCCCTATTGTGACTCTCTTCCAATTCTCTTTCCTCAACCACGATGCCTTCATTCACTATATCTAGTTTTTTCAAACTTGGGGTTTAAAAAGGAAGAATAAGGAGGAAAATGAGGTTGTAGAACTGTAGTGTGTAAAGGAGCAGTGCGGAGAGGCAATGGAGAAAGGCAACGGTGTAGAGAAGAAGAAAAGTGGCCGATGGAGTGTTGGGCATGGGGGTGGCACTAGCATTGGCAAATCATGGGGACAATGGTTGGATAAAAATTGAAGAGAAGAGAAACTAGGGTTCGTGGACTAAAATGTAATTTTACAAAAGAATAAAATTATAATAAGAAAAAATAAAAATGAGAGATGTAATTAGCTAAACAGCAATGTTAGGTGGCCCGAAAAATCATCGCTCAAATGGCTCGAAACACTCAAAACGACGTTGTTTTGGGTATAAAACGACATCGTTTTGACACATTTGCGCCTTTGAGCCACAAAAATTCGGGCCACCAAACATTTTCCATAGCTAAACAACAATGTTAGGTGACCCGAAAAATCATGACTCGAATGGCTCGAAACACTCAAAACGACGTTATTTTGGGTATAAAACGACATCGTTTTGACACATTCGAGCCATTTGAGTCACAAAAATTTGAGCCACCAAACATTTTCCATAGCTAAACAACAATAATAGAATGACTAGGATATGTTTTGCTTCATGCTTTCTGTGTGAGTGATTTTCTGACCACACTGCCCGCTTAGTAACCAGCTGGAGAGCATCGGTAGAATAGATGGCACCTGGTTAACCTGCAACAGAAAGAGAAGATTCCGGCGGTGGTTCGTCCACCCAGGGGCACTCTGAAGATCAAGTCAGTATATCTCTCAAAGATAAATCAAGTGCTAAACTCACAAGCTTGAGTATTAAAAGCATCCCTTAGACCCATGGGGGTGCCTTTCTTTTATAGCCAATATAAACCTAGTCCCAATAGAAGCCTAACTTCTATGGACTTAGGATTACTGCTAATCTTGGACTCCCAGTAAGATTAGGATAAACTCTCTAAAAGTCTTATCTTAATACAAACTGAAGTCTTCTCTCATTCTAGGACTCTTGCCCCTCATCCGCTTATCTCGAGTTCCGATATCTTCGGA